TCTCTGACTGGCTTATTTCACTTAGCATAATGCTCTCCAGTTCCATCCATGCTGTTGCAAAAGGCAAGAGTTCCTTCTTTTTTACTGCAGCGTAGTATTCCATTGTGTAGATGTACCACAGTTTTTTAATCCACTCATCTGTTGATGGGCACTTAGACTGTTTCCAGATCTTAGCTATGGTGAATTGTGCTGCTATGAACATAGGAGTGCATATATCCTTTCTGATTGGTGTTTCTGGTTTCCTGGGATGTATTCCTAGAAGTGGGATCACTGGGTCAAATGGGAGTTCCATTTTTAGTTTTTTGAGGAAGCTCCATACTGTTCTCCACAGTGGCTGCACCAGTCTGCATTCCCACCAGCAGTGCACGAGTGTTCCTTTTTCTCCACATCTTCTCCAGCACTTGTTTGTTGATTTGTTGATGATAGCCATTCTGACAGGTGTGAGATGATACCGCATTGTCGTTTTGATTGGCATCTCTCTGATGATCAATGACTTTGAGCATCTTTTCATATGTCTTTCGGGCCTCTGTATGTCCTCTTTCGAAAAGTGTCTAGGTCCATTGCCCATTTTTTGATTGGATTGTTTATCTTCCTATTATTAAGTTTCATGAGTTCCTTGTAAATGTTGGAGATTAAGCCCTTATTGGTGATATCATTGGCAAATATGTTCTCCCATGAAGTGGGTCTTCTTGTTGTTTTGTTGATGGTTTCCTTTGCTGTGCAAAAGCTTTTTATTTTAATGTAGTCCCATTTGTTTATTTTCTCTTTAGTTTCCATTGCCCTAGGAGCATTATCAGAGAAGAAATTCCTTCGACATATGTTTGCTATTTCGCTGCCTATGGATTCCTCTAGTATTTTTATGGTTTCTTGTCTTACGTTTAAGTCTTTTATCCATTTTGAGTTTATTTTTGTGTATGGTGTGAGTTGGTGGTCTAGTTTCATCCTTTTGCATGTATCTGTCCAATTTTCCCAACACCATTTATTGAAGAGACTGTTGTGACTCCATTGTATGCTCTTGCCTTCTTTGTCGAATATTAATTGGGCATAGTGGTTTGAGTCGGTTTCTGGGTTCTCTATTCTATTCCATTGATCTATATGTCTGTTCTTGTGCCAGTCCCAAGCTGTTTTAAGTACAGTGGCTTTATAATACAGTTTGATATCTGGTATTGAGATCCCACCTACTTTGTTCTTCTTTCTCAGGATTGCTGCAGCTATTCAAGGTCTTTTTATTTATTCCAGATGAATTTTTGGGGCGTTCGTTCTAGATCTGTGAAATATGCCGTTGGTAATTTAATGGGGATTGCATTGAATCTATAGATTGCTTTGGGTAGTATGGACATTTTGATGATGTTGATTCTACCAATCCATGAACACGGTATGTTCTTCCATCTGTTTATGTCTTCCTCTATCTCTTTTTTCAGTATCCTGTAGTTTTTTGCATATAAGTCTTTTACCTCCTTAGTTAAGTTTATTCCTAGGTATCTTAATTTTTTTAATGCGATAGTAAATGGGATTGCTTTTTTAGTCTCACTTTCTGTAAGTTCAATATTGTTGTAAAGAAATGCCATAGATTTCTTGGCATTAATTTTGTATCCTGCTACATTGCCGAATTCATTTATTAAGTCTAATAATTTTTTGATGGGGTCTTTAGCATTCTCTATGTACAGTATCATGTCATCTGCAAATAAGGACAGTTTTACTTCTTCTTTTCCAATTTGGATGCCTTTTATTTCTTCTTCTTGTCTGATTGCAACGGCTAGTACTTCCAGTACTATGTTGAACAGGAGTGGTGAGAGGGGGCATCCCTGTCTTGTTCCTGTTCTTAGGGGGAATGGTGTTAGTTTTTGCCCATTTATTATGATGTTGGCTGTGTGTTTGTCATATATGGCTTTTATTATGTTGAGGTATGATCCTTCTACTCCCACCTTGCTGAGAGTTTTTATCAAGAAAGGGTGTTGGATTTTGTCAAATGCTTTTTCTGCATCAATTGATATGACTATGTGGTTTTTATCTCTCAATTTGTTTATGTGATGTATTATGTTTATTGATTTGCGGATATTGTACCATCCTTGCATCCCTGGGATAAATCCAACTTGGTCATGGTGTACTGCTGGATCCGATTTGCTAGGATTTTGTTGAGTTTTTTGGCATTTATGTTCATGAGGGATATTGGCTTGTAATTCTCTTTCATTGTGTTGTCTTTACCTGGTTTTGGTTTTAGGGTGATGCTGGCTTCATAGAATGAGCTTGGAAGTGTTCCTTCCTCTTGAATTTTTTGGAATAGTCTGAGGAGGATAAGTTTTAGTTCTTCCTTGAATGTTTGGTAAAACTCCCCTGTGAAGCCAGCTGGCCCTGGGCTTTGTTTGCTGGGAGCTTTTTGATGACTGCTTCAATTTCTTCCATAGTTATTGGCCTATTGAGATTTTTAGCTTCTTCCTGATTAAGTTTTGGAAGGTTGTATTTTTCTAGGTATATGTCCATTTCCTCCAGGTTGTCTAGTTTGTTGGAGTAGAGTTGTTCGTAGTATTTTCTAACAATCCTTTGTATTTCTGTGGGGTCTGTTGTTATTTCTCCTCTTTCATTTCTGATTTTGTTTATTTGGGTCCTCTCTCTTTGTTTCTTGGTGAGCCTGGCTAGAGGTTCATCAATCTTGTTTATCCTTTCAAAGAACCAGCTCTTGGTTTTGTTGATCTTTTGTATTGTTTTTTTAGTCTCTATGTCGTTTATCTCCGCTCTGATCTTTATTATTTCCTTCCTTCTGCTTACACTGGGCTTTTCTTGTTGCTCTCTTTCTAACTCTTTGAGTTGTAGGGTTAAGTAATTTATTCTCATTGTTTCTTGTTTCTTGCAGTAGGCTTGTAGAGCTATGAACTTCTCTCTCAAGACTGCTTTCGCTGTATCCCGTAGGTTTTGGAGTGTTGTGTTTTCATTGTCGTTTGTTGCCATGATGTTTTTTATTTCTTCTTTGATCTCTTTGGTAACCCAGTCATTGTTTAATAGCGTGCTATTTAGTCTCCATGTGTTTGATTTTTTGGGATTGTTTTTATTGTAGTTGATTTCCAGTTTTATGCCATTGTGATCTGAGAAGATGCTTGATATGATTTCAATTTTCTTGAATTTGAAGAGACTTTGTCTGTGACCCAATATATGGCCTATCTTTGAAAATGACCCATGTGCACTTGAGAAGAATGTATATTCTGTGGCTTTGGGGTGAAATGTTCTGAAGAGGTCAATTAATTCCATCTGATCTAGTGAGTCATTTAGGATTGATGTTTCTTTGCTGATTTTTTGTTTAGAGGATTTGTCCAATGGTGATAATGGGGTGTTAAAGTCCCCTACTATGATTCTATTGCTGTCAATCTCTCCCTTGATCTCCTCCAGAAGATTTCTTATGTATTTGGGTGCTCCTATATTGGGTGCGTAGATGTTTACCAGAGTTATTTCTTCTTGTTGCAATGCTCCCTTTAGTATTATGAAATGGCCTTCTTTATCTCTTTTTATGTCCTTCAATTTGAGATCTAATTTGTCAGATATAAGTATTGCTACCCTGGCTTTTTTTTTTTTTTTTCATTTCTATTCGCCTGAAAAACCTTTTCCATCCCTTCACCATCAGTCTGTGTGCGTCTTTTTTTCTGAGGTGGGTTTCCTGTAGACAGCAGATATATGGGTCATGTTTTCTTATCCACTCAGTTACCCTATGTCTTTTGATTGGGGCATTTAATCCATTTACATTTAAAGTTATTATTGATAGATACTTGTTAGTTGCCATTTTTATTCTTTACCCCTGTGTTCCTTCTTCATTTCCGATTTTTTCTTTTTACAGCAGACCCTTTAGCATTTCTTGCATTGCTGGTTTGGTGGTAATAAACTCCCGAAGTCCTTTTTTGTCTGTGAAGCACCTGATTTCACCCTCAATTTTGATTGATAGCCTTGCTGGGTACAGTATTCTTGGATTCAGACCCTTCCTTTGCATGACTTTATATATTTCATTCCATTCCCTTCTTGCCTGATGTGTTTCTGTTGAGAAATCAGTCGCTAGTCTGATGGGGGCTCCTTTGTAGGTGACTTTCTGTCTCTCTCTGGCTGCTTTTAAGATTCTTGCTTTGTCATTGGTGTTTGCCAATTTAATTATAATGTGCCTTGGCATCGGTCTTTTGGGGTTCATTTTGTTTGGGACTCTGTGAGCTTCTTGGATTTGTGTGAGTTTTTTCTTCCCTATATCACGGAAGTTTTCTGTCATTATTTTTTCAAATAGGTTTTCTATTCCTTGCTCAGTTTCCTCTCCTTCTGGTACCCCTATTATGTGGATATTGTTTCATTTCATGTTGTCCCAGAGTTCTCTTAGGCTCTCCTCCTGCTTTTTAATTTTTTTTTCTAGAAGCTGCTCTGCTTGGGTATTTTTTCCTACCTTGTCTTCTAGCTCACTGATGCGGTCCTCTGCTTCTTCTAGTCTACTGTTGATGCTTTCTATTGTGTTCTTTATAGCAGTGATGTCATTTTTCATTTCTTCTTGTTTTTTCTTCATTTCCTCTTGGTTCTTACACATATTGTTGAATTTGTCTTCCATTCTTTTCATCCACCTTATGACCATTTCTCTGAATTCTTTCTCTGACAGGTTGCTTGCCTCCATTGCCTCCATTTTGCTTACTTCCTTTTCTGGTGATGCCTGTTTTACTTTCATATGTGGGCTGGTTCTTGGTCTCCTCATGATCTCTCTTCTCCAGGTGTTTGGTTATGTAGTTCTCTCTCTGCTTTCCGTGAGGAGAAGCAGGGCTCCACATAGTCGCGCTGTCCCAGATCCGGTGTTTTTGGGTTAGCAGCCGATCTCTGGATGCCGGGTCTTTGGAGGTATACACTTCCAATAACAGCCACTTGAAATTAAATTTTTATTTGTTTTATTAAACTCTGAATTATTTGTAAACATGTTATCAGTTTTAATTTTCTGTCATGGCTATTAAACTTCAGTTTATAATCTTAAATTATATTTTGAATTTCAGCAGTTTAGAAGAATATCTGGTTAAAGAAAATATGCATCAGTTTTGTGATGTTGAAGAGGATGTAGATAATGTTAATAAGTTTATTGATATCTTCTTCCCTGATTTTAAAAACAAGAAATTAGAAAAGACACTGGCATTTCTTCGACCAGATCTCTTTCAAGAAAAGAAAGGTAAGAAATAAGGTACAAATTGTTTATTTCATAAATGGATTTGAATAAACCCTAGTATAATTACATTAAAATATATTATTTTAGGACTTAACTTTGAAGAAAAAGCACCTAAAGTAAGAAATTTAGTTAATATTAATTTACTAATTTTCAATAATAAAACAATTTTCAGTAAAGAGTTTACAAAGTATTTTCTAGCTTATAAATGTGTTAGAAAAGATTTTAAAGTGGCAGGAATTATTATATAATAAAAATTGGCAGTTTTCATTTCTGAAATGCCTTAACTCAAAGCTTGGGTCAACCCCTCATTAATAGTATGATTTGAAAAAGATGCTTTATCAAGTCTCTTTCTTCTAATATAGAGAATATTATTGAATGCAAACTCTAACTGAAAAAGAAGAAAATTAAATTTAAAAAAGAACAAAAAAATTAGATGAAAATAAGAAAACATAAATACAGTGACTACACTTAAAAAGTGCTAATTATTTTTAACCTACTGCCATATTCACATGGCAGAGTGAAATGCAGAGTAAGAACACAAACCATACATTCACACTATTAATTATTTTTCATACCTAGTGTATGAAAATACAATACTTTATATTGACCTTGCATTCTCTGACTTGCTGAATTCAGTGTTAGAATCCTTGACGTCATCTCCTTGGGAATTTCTATGCAGACCAGGATTTCTCAACCTCAGACCTACTTACATTTGGGGCTAGATAACTGATAATTTTTGGCTGAGGGAGGCTATGTCATGTGCATTGTAAAATGTTTATAACGCCCTTGGCTTCTACTCATCAGATGTAGCATCCCTGCGCACCCCCATCTTCCCTCTCACCACGCCCTGTTGTGACAACAAAAAATGTCTCCAGACATTGTCAAATGCACTCATGGGGGATAAAATTTCTGGCCAAGAACTACTGATGTAAACAATAATAACACTGCAAATCAAGACAATCTGTATACCTTTCTTCCTTTTGCTTGCATCATTGGACTGACTGGCTAGAACTTCCTGTATGATGTTGACTAGGAGAGGTGAGAGTAGACAAGTTTGCCTTGTTCCTGACCTTATAGTGAAAGCATTCAGTTTTTTTACCATCCTATATATAAAAGTGTAATATGCAAATCGACCGAACAGCCAAACAGCAGAACAACCATCTGGACTACCATCCTGATGACCATCCAGGACCACGCTATGACACTATTGGCTCCAGGCCAGCCAAGGTGGGTGCAATGCTATTGGCTGGGGGCCCGGCCATTGCCCCATGATTGCCCCACAAAGGGAGGCCCAGGCCACCAGCATGTGGGGCGAATAATGGTGTGGGGGGGGCCTCCCCTGCGAGGGAAGCTCAGGTCCTGGGTGCCAGAAGGAAGCTTGTGCCGGCAGCCGGGGGAAAGGAAGGCCTACTCTTGCATGAATTTTGTGCATTGGGCCTCTTGTTAAGTATAATGTTAGTGCTATATATCCTTTATCAAATTAAGGAAATTTCCATTTATTCCTAGTTTGGGGATTTAAAAAAATCATGAATGGATATTGCATTTTCTCAAACATTTTTTCTGTGTCTACTACTGTGATTATTACTTTTCCTTGAGTTTGATAATAAGGTAATTACTGTGATTTTTGAATGTTGAAGCAGCTTTGCATTCTCCAGATAAATCACAATTGATTGTTGTATATTGTCCTTTTTGCATACTTCTGGATTTGATTTTTAAATATTTTGTTGAGAGCTTTCATGCTTATATTCCTGAGGATTATTTGTTGTTTTCTTATAATATCTTTATCTGGTTTTGGTGTCAGCATAATGCAGGCCTCATAAAATAAATTGTCACTCTTCTTTATTTTCTGGAAGAAACAGTGTATAATTGATATTACATTTTTCTTAAATATTTACCAGAATTTACTGGCAAAACTATCTGGTCCTATAGTTTTCTTCTTTGGATGTTTTGTTTGCCTTTTAAAATATTTCTTAATATTTACATACTTGTTAAATGAATAGATTTTTATAAACTAGGACAGCTATAAAATTATAGAAAAATTAATATAGTACAGAGTTCCCATATGCATGCTTAACAGTTTCTCCTATTAACATATTATTGTGATATGTTTTTAAAATTAATGAATATTGACACATTGTTATTGGCTAAAATCCATAGTTTACATTAAAGTTCTCTATTTTTCACATTCTATGGGTTTTGATAAATGCATATCATGTATCCCCTGTACAGTATCATACAGAATGGAGTCACCTAGTCATTCCTCCCTTCCACCCTCCTATCCTTAGGCTACCACTGATCTTTTTGGTGTCTCTATAGTTTTGCCTTTTCCAGAAAGTCAAAGAGTTAAAATCATATAGTATGTAGCCTCTTCTTTTACTTAATATGAATTTCAGATTCCGCTATGTCTTTCTGTGACCTGGTAGCTCATTTCCTTTTGTTGCTGAGTAATATGCCATTTTATGGATGTACCAAAGTTTATCCAGTTACCTATTGAAGGACATCTTTGTTGCTTTCAGTTTTTGGCAGTTATGAATAAAGCTGAAATAGGCATTAATATATGATTTTTTGCATGTGTAGACATAAGTTTTCACCTCAGTAGGGTAAATACCTAGGAGCTTGAATACTGGATCAAATGGTTAAACTATGTGTAGCTTTGTAAGAAACTGTCAAATGCCTTTTAAAGTGCTGTACCATTTTCAATTCTGAACAGCAAGCAGTGAGAGCTTCTGTTGCTGTGCAGGTGGTTGTTTAGATTTTTTCTATTCTAATAAGTATGTAATGGTATCTCATTGTTGTCTTAATTCACAATTGCCTAATGACATGATGCTGAGCATCTTTTCATATGCTAACTTCTATTTCTGTATCTTCTTTGGTGAGATGTCTCTTCAGATGTTTTTTCCCCATTTCTTAATGGAGTTATTTGTTTACTTATTGTTGAATTATGAGTTCTTTGCATATTGTGAATACACATTCTTTAAATATCTGTAGTTTGCAAAGATTTTCTAGGTTTTGGGCTCTGTGTTTTTTTTGTTTTTTTTTAAATATATTTTATTGATTTTTTTTTTTTTATACAGAGAGGAAGGGAGAGGAATAGAGTTAGAAACATCAATGAGAGATAAACATCGATCAGCTGCCTCCTGCACACACCTTACTGGGGATGTGCCTGCAACCAAGGTACATGCCCTTGACCGGAATTGAACCTGGGACCCTTCAGTCCGCAGGCCGACGCTCTATCCACTGAGCCAAACTGGTCAGGGCTGGGCTCTGTGTTTTTTAAACAGTGTTTTACTGGAAAGTTTCTGTTTTTAATATAGTCCAACTTGTCAGATATTTTATTGCTCTTTTAGTGTTTAAATTAAAAAATCAATTTAAACCCTAAAAGGTTATCAGTATTTTCTTCTCTGTTATCTTGCAGAAAGTTTATAGGTTGAACTTTACATTTAGGACTATAACCCATTTCATTTAATTTTCATGAAAGGTATATGGTCTATGTCTATATTAATTTTTTTTGCATGTGTGTGTCCAATTGTTCCAGCACCATTTGTGGAAAAGACTATCATTGCTCCACTGTATTACCTTTGCTTATTTGTCACACTTCAGTTGACATATTCATGTGGGTATATTTCTGGGTTCTCTATTCAGTTCTGTTAATCTATGTGTGTATTCTTTTGCCTATCCCTCACTAATTTGATTACAGTAGTTTTTAATTGAGTTTTTTAGAAAGAGAGGAAGGGAGAGGGAGAGTGAGAGAAACATTGATGCGAGAGGGAAACACCAATCAGTTGCCTCTTGAACACTCCCAGATAAGGATCGAGCCTGCAACCCGGGCATGTACTCTGACCAGGAATCAAACTGGCGACCTTTCGGTTCATGGGATGACGCTCAACCAACTGAGCCACTCTGGCAGGGCTGATTATGGTAGTCTTATAGTCAGTCTTGAAGTGGGTAGTTATCAGTCCTCAAAAATTGTTTTTGTCTTTCAATGTTGAGTTGGTTATTCTGGGTTTTTGTGTTTCCATATAAACCTTAGAATCAGTTTTTCAATATCCATATCCACAAAATAACTTGTGGACACATCAATTGGTTGCCTCTCACACATGCTCGGGGCACAGGATTGAGCTTGCAAATGAGGTACGTGCCCTTCGCCAGAATTGAACCCACGGCCCTTCAATCCACGGGCCAACACCCTATCCACTGAGTCAAACTGGCTAGGATGCATTTTTGTGTGTACTAATGTAAATTGTATTGTTTTAAATGTCAAATTCCAATGTCATTGTTAGTATATAGGAAAGTCATTTACTTTTGTACATAAACTATAACCTGCAATGTTGCTATAATAGTCTCTTATTAGTTTTAGGAGTGTTGTTGTTGTTGTTTCTTTGGGTTTTCTACATAGACAATCATATCATCTATGAACAAAGACAGTTTTATTTTCTCCGTCCCTATCTGTATACCTTTTATTTTCTTTTCTTGTGTTATTTTATTAACTAGGTTTTCCAGTCTGATGTCAATAGAAGTAGTGAGAGGTGAGAGCCCTGCCTTGATGCCAGTCTTAGAGAGAAAGCATATAGTATAGAAAATATTTGCTAATGAGATACTTCAGTGTGTGTGTGTGTGTGTGTGTGTGTGTGTGTGTGTGTGTGATTCTTATGTCATGTAAAATTGGAAATACCATTATAATTTAATATGTTAAGAATATTGTTCACCTTAAAATAAAATCTAATGAACTATTTTGGCAAGTTTTTAAATTTCATAATAGAATAAAATGCATTATATGTCCTCATGATAATATATTCTATATTGTGTATATAACCAATAACCTAGCAATTTAAAACTTTTCATTTTACTTTTTGTTTAGAGGAGGTTTTGAATATTATTAAAAATGAAGGCTTTCATATACTGATGCAAAGGCCAGTGGTATTATCAGAAGAAGAGGCACGAACACTGTGCAAGGAATATGAAAATGAAAATTATTTTGACAAGGTGATAGAAAACATGACCAGGTAAAATAAATTTCAGGTGTAGAAAGCACAGTCTGATTTATTTTTGAATCATTTAAATCTCCTCTTAACCTTTCTTTCTGCTTAAGTTGCCAAGCCTCTCAATTTTGTAAACAAGCGCCGAGTCTGCTTTTTGAGCCAGTCTCCCTCCCATGTCGATTCTCTGTTCAACTGTCTGTCTTGTCTAGTCCTCCTGGAATGTTATTGGAGCAATAGAAATATCCCAGGTGAAGTTGCTGGAGTCCAGTTGAGTTAAATGCCAGGAATCCAGGGTGTGCAACATCATCAAGTCCAAGCAGAGAAAACTGATTGAGTCTCAAGGGCTTTGGTAATCTAAAGATCTAGGAGAGGCATGAGATGCTAGAAATCTGTCAGGTTTCTAAAAGCATAAGTGAAGTAATGCCTGGGGCTGAAATCCAGCAGGAGTATATAAATCAGCAGGAGTATAGGAACAATATAGGAACCATTGTATTAGAACCAAGGCCCCCTTTCCCCTTTCATTTCTCTGCTTTCATCCTTTTATAAATATGTTTTTAAGAATACACCAATGGAAATAATTTTAGATTCGGTAAAAGGGTTATTTTGACTTTTTGTAGTCTATTTAACAAATGTACTTGCATTATCTATATATAATTAGCTACTGAGTCAGATTTTTATTAACTTTGTTTTTAATTTTTTCACAGTGGTCCATCTCTAGCTCTTGTTTTAGTGAGAGAAAATTGTTTACGACACTGGAAAGAGTTAATTGGACCAAGTACTGTCGGAGAAGCTAAACAATATTTTACAGACAGGTTGGATTCATATCATAGGTCCCAAACTGTTTTCATAGGAGCCATTTTAATTCCCTTTTAGATATGGAATATGGGAACCAGAGTTCTGGTTCAAAGAAGGTTCTCAGGGTAGCTGCTCTTCCTGGGTCACAGTGGACTGCTGTTGGCTGGAGGCCTAGCTCCGTGCCAACCCGAATACTGCCAAGGTTTTGCAAGAGAAGGCTGCGGGCTGTTTGGTTTGGAACTGGGAAGTAAGTGATGGGTACCCAGGCAAAAGGCCAGCTCTTGGCAGAAATTGCATCCCCATCTACTATTTAGGAGAAATTCTTTTGAGAAGGGTGTGATGGCAGCTTCAGGTTCTTTAGTGGATCATAAGCATTTCAAGACAATCATGACTGACTTAATATGTAGTCTCTACTTTGGCAGGAACCGTGACTAAGTTAGTGAACTAAACTTTGCAATCGATTTAACACATGGTATGCTACCTAGCACATGGAGGGTACTCTGTAGATATTTTTGACCTTAACTGTTAGGCTTGCTATCACCTGGGGGGTGTGGATAATATCTCATGCATCTACATTCTTGGGAGGTAGCTGATGGAAGTGAACTGAATTGCAATTTGCTTGAATTCTCTGTGCCAGTTGCAGAGCAGGATTCAATGCAGGGAAGAAAGGCTCTTGCTTCAAGTGAGCAAGAATAGAGGTGCTCTATCAGGCACAGCAGACTAGACACATTTGTTTACACAATAACAGTACTTATGAAACATCATTTACATAAATACTGAAATAATCTTCTTTTGGGCAGGATATCTTGAATCTGACTTGTCTTGAATGGGCACCATTTCCCCCCTATTTAGCCCTACTCACTTAGGTCTTTGCTCCTGTACCAGAAAATAACTATCAAGGATAACGTGGGGTGAACACTGTGGATAGTGTGAGCAGAGTGTCCTAGGTCCTCTTAATGAAATGTTGCATAGAATTCAATGCATAGCATTAGAGAGGAATGACTCTCAACACAAAGCCTATGCCTGTAGGCACACGCTTCTAGCAATTGTGGTTCCAGGTGTGGAGGGAGTACACCAGCACAGAGACATTTCCTCCAGGGGAAGCTCCGACTGACTGCCTCTCCCACCCCACTGTTGTGATCCCTATCTTGCCACAACTTGACAGCTAACCCTGACCATTCTGTTTGAATAGTTCCCCTTTTCCAGTTTCATTGGTTCCACCCAGGTCGTTCCTGTTGTTTTAGAGATAACTGTCAACAGAGCTCGGTCCCTTTTCTGCACGCAAGTAGCAGATTTTGCATTCTGCATTGCTTAATCTGAAATACAGTCACTTTGGTAAAAGGTAAATATAGTAACCCCTCTATGCTATCCTTACACATGCACACACTCACACTTACAAATGTATACACACTTTTTTCAATAATCATGTCTAGCAGCATAACAGAGGGGCTGGTTGTAGTTCTCTGCCTTGAATGGCATAAGTGCTGGCGATCATTTAAGCTGTTTTATCAACCATTGTGCAGATTCCCCATCCCTGGCAAGCACAGGCTCCAAGGAACTTAGGCCACAAGCATCTCCAAATCAGGGTGTGAGAATCGTCAAGGCCTGAGTAGGAAGGTCAAGTTGGACAAATCAAAAATGGGTCACTGAAACCAGAGAGGCACAAAGAGAGTCTTGAAGCTGAGGCTAGAAAGCCAAGTTTCCAGTGATGTCACCCTATTAAATAAACAGGAAGGGACACTATTCACCATCACTGGATTTTGAGGATTGGCTGCTCAAAAGTGCGTGTAAAAGGCAGAAAATACAATGAACAGTGAGCATCTCCTCTGTTAAAATATACATAGATAGATAGATACATACGTACATACATAGACAGATAAAGACAGAAAAAAGGGGAAACAAAAAACATCAAGCAACAATTCACGTAAGAGATATATATTTATCTATTGTACAGAAACAGAACCAGACTAATTATCTAACCCAACATGAATTGTCCAGAACCATCAGCATCCCTACTGCTTCTTTAAAAAAAATATATTTGTATTGATTTCAGAAAAGAAGGGAGAGGGAGAGAGAGATAGAAACATCAATGATGAGAGGGAATCATTGATCAGCTGCCTCCTGCATGCTCCTACTGGAGATGGAGCCTGAAACCCGGGCATGTGCCCTTGGCTGGAATCGAACCTGGGACCCTTCAGTCCACAGGCTGATGCTCTATCTACAGAGCCAAACCAGCTAGGGCTCTACTGCTTCTTTATACACAGAATTGTCCTGTAGGCTCCTCCTTTGTTGCTGCTCTTGCTTACTGGGAAGGTTCCACTGCAGTTTCTCCTGGATTTGAAGTTTATAGTTTGGTATCTTTGGTGTAGAGTCAAAGATAACTATTAGATAACACCTAAATAGCATCTTTAGTGCTTGATGCTATTTAGTGATCAGGATTCTGTGCTTTGTCACCCTGCTAGGGCATCCATTCCTCCATTCACAGTTATCTGTCAATCTCCATTATCAGGATTATTGAAAAGTCCATTTCCTCCCTCCCTCCCTTCCTCCCTCCCTCTCTCCCTCCTTCCCACCTTCCCTCCCTCTCTCCCTCCCTCCCTCCCTCCCTCCCTCCCTCCTTCCCTTTCTCCTTCCCTCCTTCCCTTCCTCCTTCCCTCCCTTCTTTCTTCCTTCCCTCCCTCCCTCCTTTACTTTCATTCATGTCTTTATTTCTTCCTTTCTAAAGACTATTACATCCTTAAAGTGAAGTCACATGCCCCAGACCATTCTGTAATTAATTACTTTTTAACTATGTCTAGATCAGGGATGAGTTGCTTTTGTTTGATAATTTTGAACAATTTATATAGTGTTATATTGTGCTCTATGTTATGTTATGATGTTATGCCATAATAGTTTTTAACTTGTTTCTTTTCTCAAGTTTGTGTGCACAATTTGCAATGGAAAACCTGCCTATCAACCAGTTGTATGGAAGTGACTCACCGGAAGCTGCTGAAAGGGAAATCCAGTATTTCTTTCCTCCTCAAAACACTTTAGCAGTGATTAAACCTCAGGCAACACACGCACAAAGAGGTAAATATTTAAAAATGAAAGCCAATGTGGACATTTTCTTCAAGTTTAGTGAAATTTTTCAAACTACAGAAAAGTTGAAGGAATAATGCCAGTTCTGAACACAGCCAGAGGATAGCCACTCAAGTTAAGCTGTGGGTGAAACTTTGACAAGATTTACTTGATTTAATTCCCTCAGTAGCTCCCTTCTCCTTCAGGAGGAAGAGTTCAGATTGGCTCTCACCTTCAATTTCGATCTAGCAAGAAGTTTCTTGGCCCTGGTAGCAGAGATGAAACATGTCTTAACTTTTAGCTCAGGAGCTGGTCCCCTCCTCTCCCGCGTTCATAGTCCACTAGATGATTCAGGTGGTTTCTGGAAAGATGCATCTCAGAGATGAAACACCTACAATAACATATTAAAGTTCTTCTGAATGTCAGCCTGGTGCTTTTCAAATTCAATTTAGTTTAGCGTAGTTTTGCCTTTTAAAACCACAGTATGCAAATAAAGCTATTACCATCCTTAAGTTATTTCAATCTACTTGAACATGGAGCAAAAGTGGAGGCAATCTGCATGATGAGCAAATATCTGTTTTCTCTAGAGATGATCTTCAGCCGTATTAAAGAGGCTGGATTTGAAATAATACAGATGAAGGAAATTCTGCTAACCAAAGAGCATGCTGACAAAATTTATTATAAAATAGCACAGAAAGACTTTTATAACAGTGTGTTGGAGGTATTATCTGAGTAAGTTTCTGAAATATAGTTCTTTGCATTATAAAGTAGTATTTGTTCATTGTAGAAACAGAAAAATATAAAAATTAATTAAAACATTCCATCTAATCTCATTCAGGGAAAGACACCTTATTAATATTTTGGGCTCATTTTCCCCCTATTTCCTTCCTTTCCTCCCTATATTTCTCTCTCCCCTTCCTCCCTTCTTCTCCTTATTCCTTTTTTTCTTTCTTTCTCCTTCCTTCCTTTTTTTAAAATTTAGGTCTTCACATTAGATATAGAGGCTATCTGGGTTTAAATTCCTGTTTACCAATATACTTTCTCTGTGTCTTAGTTTTCTTATATGTAAAATGGGGATAATAATAGTACCTAACCCAGGGATGGCGAACCTTTTGAGCTGGGCTTGTCAAAATTTTGAAAAACCCTAACTTAACTCTGGTGCTGTGTCACATATAGAAATATTCATAATGTTTTTTTGATATTTGCAACCATAGTAAAAAAAAGATTTATATTTTTGATATTTATTTTATATATTTAAATGCCATTTAACAAAGGAAAATCAACCAAAAAATATGTATAAAATGAACAAAAACAGAAAAACAATGTACATTTAGGAAAAAATAATAATAAAAACAATGATAATCAAATGGTACGAAAACTAGAAATTAGTGACTTTTTTGGTGCTTAAGTTTGTCTGCTAATTCTTCGATTGCAGGTTCATACTTGGTGCACTTTGAGGCCAAGCAAGCGCCACTAACTTCATCTGTTAGCCGGTTTCTTTTGTTCGTTTTAATATTATTTAATGCTGAGAACAGTCTCACAAAAATATGTTGATGAAAAAATTGTTAGCAAAGCCATCGCTAGATTTTTTATGTCGCTAGAAGTGTCAGGTACTCTGTTCCAAGCACTCGAAATTTCTTGTTCATAGTTGCGCTCTTCTTCATTATTCAAACGATTTTGTTCCAGATTTTCAAGTTTCGACCTTAAGTCGACAAACACACGAGTCCAAGTGCTACCTTACCTTGAAAATCTGCAAGTTGCATCTCTAAATCGTCAATTTGCATCCATTGTAAATCCTTTAATTCCAAAGTACTGTAAACAACTACATCCGGATGCTTAATTATTTTAATGGTCTGTTCTAGGCTTCTAAGTTGGTCGAATCTTTTGCTGAACTGTCCAAATAACGAGTTTACTATATTCTGGTACATAAGTATGGACTCCATTACACCCGTTGTAGTGGCCTTCTCGAAATACTTTTTTATCCGAGGAAAATACTTATAAGTTTTAGTTTCAATATCTCGCTTGAAAATTTTAAGTTTACTTTCAAAAGATTTGATGTATCCAAACATAACGTCAATATTTTTGCCAAAACCTTGTAATTTTAAGTTCAGTTCATTCATATGAACAGAGAGATCTGTAAAAAACATCAAATTGCTGACCCACTTATGATCATTGATCTGAGGAAAGTTTGCCAGATCCTTATTCTCAATAAATACCGTAATTTTTTCAAAGCACTCCACAAATCGCTCAAGTACTTTACCTCGACTCAGCTATCTCACATTATTGAACATCAGTAGTCCACTGTAGGTTGAATCAACTTCCTGTAAAAGTGCAGAAAATTCTCGCTTGTGAAGGGGTCGAGAAGCTATAAAATTCCCAATTTTTGTTACAACTGACATTAAATCATTCAATTCTGAGAATCCCGATTTGGCACACAACACCTCCTGATGGATAATGCAATGAAAAGGTACAAGTGGATGTCTAATAGCTTCCATAAACAATTTCAGGAATCCCATATTTTTTCCCACCATATTTGGTGCCCCATCTGTCGTGACTGACACAATTTTAGAGATATTAATGTTTAGGTCACTGAATGTTTTTATAACAACCTTACATATTTCGCTTCCTGATGTACTTATTGGCACTGATTCTAACTTTATCAACTCTTCTCTCATTGTGAGACCATCAGAATATCTAGAAATAATGGCCAACCGAGCATTTGATGTGACATCAGTAGTTTCATCAAGAGAAATCGAAAAATATTTACAGCTATTTAAGTCTTTTTTTCATTGATGTTGTACGTTTTTGTTAAGATCTATTATTCTGTCTTTTTTTAAAAAATATATTTTATTGATTTTTTACAGAGAGGAAGGGAGAGAGATAGAGAGTTAGAAACATTGATGGGAGAGAAATATCAATCAGCTGCCTCCTGCACACCTCCTACTGGGGATGTGCCCGCAACCAAGGTACATGCTCTTGACCGGAATCGAACCTGGGACCCTTCAGTCCACAGGCTGATGCTCTATCCACTGAGCCAAACCGGTTATGGCTATTATTATTCTGTCTTTGATAGTATTTTAACTGAGTGGTAACTCAGAAATTCTTTTAATAACATCATCTTTATTTTTCATATCGTGAAATAGAGCTGGTGCACATCTTAGAAATGTTTCCTTAATAAATTCTCCATCACTGAGGGCTTTTCCATGCTGAGCTATGGAGTGAGCAATACAGTAACTTGCTGTTGTTAAATTTGTAGAGCATCTTACAAATTTAATGATGGAATTTGATTGACTTTTATAGAGGTATAGCTGCCTAGAAATGTATTCCTTCCTTTCATCGATACTTTTTTTTCAAGAGCTGACAATGATTAGTTTCAAAATGTCTTTTTACATTCCTCGTTTTGCTTACTACCGTTTCATTACACAGTATGCACAATGATCTGTTGTTTCTGTCGACAATCCCGTACATCTCGGTCCATATGTCTTGAAAAGGTCAGCTACTGCTACTTCCACTTCCTTTATCATTCAATCTTGCTTTTTTATTTTTTTGATTCTCCATCACAAGGCTGCAAAAATAAATAAATATAAATCACGGCGTTTTTTTCTAAAAGGTTGATAGGTTTCTTATCTATTAACTTTTTGCAGTGTTGTTGCACTGACTCCTGGTGCAAAACAATTCAAAGATAGTATGTATAACCAACAAATATATGGTGCTGTAATCAATTTTCCGACACGCAGAATGTCTCATCGAGCACTGTTGCACTGTATATCTTTTTCTTCTAACCCTCCCACTCCTGTCTCCTAACGATCAAGTGCATCCATTTGCTGAATGCACCCGAACACATGGGAAGCTTATCCAAGGCACGTGTTCACAATAACGAGGCCGTTTCCAGAACTGGGTATTTTGTCACTCGAGTAAAAATAAAATGTCATGAGTAAAGATTAATCTCTTTATAGTGCAATTCTTAACCTTTTTATATTAATGTCAATATTGGAACAATGTATCTTAGATGTTTTCACTATGTATCTTTGCTACGCAACACTGATGTACATGTTTACATCCGGTTTTAGAATTGCATTATTGATCATGAGTAACGTGAGTAATAATATTACTCGAGTGATGCCCAACTCATTGAATTATGCAATTTTTTGTCTCTGTCGATGCGTGTCTCCCAAAATGAGTTCGCGTGTCACCTCTGACGCACATGTCATAGGTTCACCATCACTGACCTAACCTATAGGTTTGTTGTGAGGGCTAAATAATTGATACATTGAAAGTACTTGGAACAGTGCCTGAAATATATCTATAGATATAAACTACAGCATTTTTCTAGCAGTGTTTTCCTATGCCTGTTGGAAGAGGGATAAATGAAGCAAACAAAAAAGAATGCATTAACTCACACTAATAAGTACAAAGAACAAAGAAAAGCTCTTTGGATGAAGCTGTGGTGTTCTGTCTGTAGCCATGTAGGCAATCTATACAGTTGTAAGTGGCCCAAGTCTTCTGTTATTTGCAGGGGTCCATCTTTGGTCATGATTCTGAGCAAGTGGAATGCTATTGCAGACTGGAGACGATTGATGGGTCCCACAGACCCAAGTGAAGCAAAGTTCTTGTCCCCAAACTCTCTCCGAGCCCAATTTGGAACAAATCTTTTGAGAAATGCTGTCCATGGATCATCTAATGCCACTGAGGCAATGCAATCAATTAATAATATATTTGAAGAGGCTGTTCCTGAGAATCCCGAGAATCCCGAGGAAAACTAATGTACAGTACCTCTCTAATAACTGTTATTTCCTTTTCTTGGGCTGTTACAGTGACTGGGTCTAGGACAAGGTTGTTCCGATCAGAACATTCCCTATGTTTCTGACTTAAACTATTTCCTGCCAGACATATTACATTGCTCCATAGCAACCTTGAAGCCTCAAAGCCAAACCTTGCGCAGGCACCTGGGACATAGTGGAGTAAGCAAGATATCCTTTGGGTTGCAAGCCTTGGTACTGAACTATTTGTGCCATCTCTCAGGACAGTCTCATGAAGTCCCTCTTCTTGACTCCCCTCCATTTCTCCTCTTCGAATTACCAAGGTCTCATAAAGCAGCCTCAACTCTATTCCTTGAGTATTTGAAAACTTGGAACCTACTAACTATCTGTGGGTGACATATGATAATATGATAGGATATTAGAAACCATAAAGCAAAAGGCAGTCATTTCTATTCCTTGGCAAAGAGCAACTTATTTGGGGAGCATGTGGATTGAAACTGCTTAGTTGTTGATGGAAAACTTGAAAACGTTTCTATCCTGGGCATTGTGGGAAGTGGAGTATAAGATAGGTGACTTTTGCATCAAACTTACTTGCCTTCTTTCTTTTCAAAGACTCTTCACATGTGCAGTGTTGTCTTCAGCTGGATGAGCCAAATTGAGAATCCGTCCACATAATGAGAAAACATTGTGAAATGGAGCAGTCCCTCTATACCCATTCGAGTTCCCGAGGGAAAGAAGAGTACATCGTTCCCTTAATAGTGTCATTTAGTCTAGGCTTTCTCTAGATGTAAGAACATTGTATCAAAACATTAAATGCAAAAATAAAAGTAGATTCTGGCATACTACTACTCATCCCATAAGTCTTATTTAATTACTAGAGGCCCGATGCACAAAATTCATGCAAGGGGCTCAGCCCTCACCACAGCAGCGGCTGCCTCTGCCTTGGCACCCAGTGTGGCAGCTTTGTCTGGAAGGTCATCTGGAAGGACGTCCGGAAGGATGTCCGGTCTAATTAGCATATTATGCTTTTATTATTATACCTAGACTAAAGCATGATTGTACAACCTATAAACATTTATGTTGGGAAAATATGTATTGTATATCTGCTTGAACTGTGGGTTTTTGTTTAGTAAAACACTGGTTGAATGAAAGTTGATACGTTCAGGGAGATGCAAATGTAATGGGGAGACAAAAATTGTACTGCTTTGAGCAGATGCATATAGGAGATGGTGAGGGAGAATGAGATACAAACCACCCAGGCAGGAGGCATTGCAGTAATCAATGTGGAAGATAACAGCAATCTGTAGAAATTGTGAGTTAGCGGTAAGTGGAATGATTAGAGAATCCTTAAAAGGCTGCATTGCATCCACAGGACTTATGATTGATCACCACTCTATCAAATAAATGGGAAAAGACAATGCTTCCTGGCTTGAGTAACTGACGAGATGCTCCAACCATTCCAAGACAGGGGACCCAAGAGAAAAAGAAAGAAATGCCATGAGTTCTGTTTTGCTCATGTGGGGAAGTAGGCATCTGGATTGAGAATAAGTCAGGCCCTCAGTGTAGCAGAGCTAAGAAGGCTCCATTGAAATGACATCAGCAAAATGGTAGAGTAGGCAGCTATAAACTCTCATCCCTCCTTGGGACATTGAAAACATAAGCAGAAACTGTCAGGACAAACCTTATCAGAGCTCTGGAAAATAATCAAAGGTTTACAGTAACCAAATGAGTACTGAAGCAATAAAGGAGCAACTAAAAAATGGTATGAAAGCTTTGTGACATTTTTACTTGCCCCATCACTTCCCCAAATTGATCACATTCTTGAAGGTTACAGCCTGTGTTCTCAGCATGGGACTCCGGTCTTTGGTGCCAAAGAGAATAGAGCAGATATTATTAACTAACTAGAGGCCCAGTGCATGAAATTCATGCAGGGGTAGGGTCCCTAGGCCTGGCCGGGGATCGGGCCGATCTTCGGGGTGATCAGGACGCCTTGGCTGGCCTGTGGCCTGTGGGCCGGGGACAGCTCCTGCGTTGAGTGTCTGCCCCCTGGTGGTCAGTGTGCATCATTGTGACCGGTCATTCCACAGGTCATTCTGCCATTTGTTCGATTTGCATATTAGACTTTTATTATATAGGGTTATTGTGTTTTTCTGTTCTAACCTGTCTGGAGGCTACCTGAAGGATGACACAAGGAACGTTGAAAACAGGGATGCAAACATGTACACCAATGTTCACAGCAGCATTATTCATAATAGCCAAAAGGTAGAACACCCCAGTGTTCATCAACAGAATGGATGAACAAAAATGGTATATAAATACAATGGATTATTATTTAGCCATAAAAATGAATAAAGTATTGATACATGCTACAAAATGAATGGACCTTGAAATATTATGCTAAATGAAATAATCTAGACACAAAAGGACAAACATTATACGATTCCCTTTGTACGAGGTACCTAGAATAGGCAAATTCATAGGGACAGGAAGTATACTAGAGGGAAATAGATGTGGGAGGGAGGGAGAAATTGGGAATTATTGCTTAATTGGTAAAGAGTTTCTGAATAGGGTGATGAAAACATTTTGGAAATACATTGTGTTGTAAAATGTACAAAATCTAGTCACATTTGAATTATCAGTAAGGATGTTTCTCAAATTTTTAAAATTGCATTTTTTTCAGAATGCGTTTTTTTGAAAAACTAGGGTAAGTTAATTATCAGCTTTCTTTGGATTACGCAGAGGAATAAGCATCGTGTAAATCTTCACCTTTCTCACTTCCTTCACATTCTGCTCTCCTTCAAATCAAATACTTTTATCTACTGTATACATGCTTGAGAGTGTTTGGGTATCCATAATATAGTTGTGTGAATTGGTGCATTGTTATTAAATGGTCTAGAACTTCAAAAGCATTAAAACAATAAGCTCTCTAAAAATTAATAATGTACCTCACCAGCAGATGGCAGGCTTCACTCAGTTGTCTATATATGTGTATGGTCTGTACAAAGATTTTATAAGCAAGATATTGAGAAAGGTTATTTCTTTTAGATTATAGAATTAGTCTTGAGGTAACTAGTCAGAAATCTAATAATGATCAAAGAGATATAGTCAATTACACTTCAGTTTTTGTTGATGTTGGTCTTGAGGGTATTGAATTTTGTGGGTGGGACACCACAGCATGAGGCAGGCACATGGGGGCTGGGATTAATCATACCTGGGAATATCTTCTTGGCCCTGGGAGAAAGGTTAGAAAAGGCTAGAAATTGTCAGGGCTCCAGCTAAAGGGGCTGATTTTGATTCTCAGCTGGACTTCAGGCAGAAAAACCACACATGTGTTTTGGACTACTGTCAACGAGGCAATTGGAGACTGCAGTATTGGTGGGCACACATTGAGAGCTCTGAGATGAGTTTTGTAAGAATGATGAGTAACACATGATAGTGAGGAGATGGGTTCCCAATACAAGGACTGGCTCAGAAGGTAGGCCAATGGTATGCCTGTCAGGGAAGCACCTCTATCTCAACAGCCAAGCAGAGCTGTGTCTTCATGAAGTTCACCATACAGAACAGTACCCATTATGTAGTACAGGCTTAGACATGCACCTTGACTCTGAAACCAGTTTCTTTGAGAGCCCTACTAAGCCCCTCTGGTGTCTTTCCAAGGTAGGGCACCTGAAGCATTCCTGATTTGATCCTAATAACATCCCCTCCCTGGATCCTGTTCCCTGTAAGCAGATGCTCTGTAGAAAATGGAATCATTTCCTAAAACGGGCTATGCTCTATCTGACGGTCCTCCTCTTGGGCTCTCTTGGTGCCCTTTCTCTTCGCTGGAAGGACCTCCTGATTCGGATGCTTGCCTGAACTGCGTCTGAACTTGTTCAACCTTGGAGGCTACTTTGGACGAACCTCCCAAGCCGGTTATTTAAATGCTTTTAATAAAGAAATTTTTACTGGGCCATTTTCCACATGTTATTCAGCTGCTAAAATATTTCAATGACGTAATAAATACTTGAAATTTTTAGAGGACTAAACATGTTAATGAACTTGAAAAAAATCCATCCGTATGGTTCAACAGCAGCATTTTAGATATTTCTCAGTACCGTCATGGAATTTTATTCATAATACCATAAGAACTGCTTAATGACAGTTCTTTATATTGTATTGTATTATTCATGTTATTACAAGTTTGTGAGATTTGGTTTCAGCCCTCTGGTTGTGAGTCTGCTGTCAGCTAAATTTTATTGTCAATAAAGTATGATCTTTTTCCCTCTCAAAGTATATCACTAATGTGATCCAAACTTCTAATTATAAAATGGTCCTCATCTAGATGTTGCAGCTACTCATGTTAGCATTATTGAATTATAAAACTGTTCTCTTACAAATATTGCAGCTAGGTATATTAGGCTTATGCTGTCCGAACAGGTAAAGGCAAAATTACACATCATAGCATTTCTTATTGCCATTAAATACCTCTAAAATGTTTGTGGTTTTGTTTTGTTTTGTTTTTGCATTCTAGTATAAAGAGACCTTTCTTGGATAGGATAAATACGTAAAATCTGTAGTCATACTCAACACATTTTCTCTTCAATAAATTTGAAATAAAATATAAGAGACATTAAAGTTTTTGAGGTTTAGGGATTCAAATAGTGTATTGATGACAATTACAAAAGTCGACAGGCATTTTGTTGCCTGGCACCACCACTTTATAGATTTTGCTGAAAATGTAGTGGCAAAATCTCAATATTTTTATCACTGTCATACTGTGATGGCCATGAGGATGTGAGTCTAGACTCCAACCACAGGGGCCATAATTATCCAAGTATCCGGACACCACAGTCTGAAATCTATTGCTACCTTTGCATCAAGACCAGGCTGTCCCTGGGCTGCTCCCAATGACAGAGCAGTAGGATACAAAGGCAGAGCCATCTGCGAACTGAAAGGTCCCAGGTTCGATTCCGGTCAAGGGCATGTACCTGGGTTGCGGACACATCCCCGGTGGGGGATGTGCAGGAGGCAGCTGATCGATGTTTCTCTCTCATCGATGTTTCTGACTCTCTATCTCTCCCTTCCTCTCTGTGAAAAATCAATAAAATATATTTAAAAAAATTGAGATAGTTGCATAGGTTTTCCCCCGAAGTTGAGAACTCTATCTTATATATCTATCATCTATCTATCTATCTATCTATCTATCTATCTATCTATCTATCTACCTACCTACCTACCTACCTACTATACCCACTTCAAGGTGGTCAGTCATTCATTTCCCAGCTGCCTGGAGGTTGGGAGTGGCTCACAGATGAAGAGAGGAGCTTCACCATAGATGACATCCATTTCCCAGCTAAATTTATAAAAACGATGGGAAGGAGGAAACAATCTCAGTGAGGAGTTGGAAAGTCAGCACTTTGATATATCTATGGTCCAAGCATGCTCGAGGAAATTTAATAATATGATCTGGAACTTTCCTGTGGTCATACTCCTCAGCCTAGCAATGCTACCTAAATGAACATCTCCAAAAACTACTTAAGGGTGGGCACAGATACTAGCTATCAAGATGTTTGTCTATTCAATATGTTCTGTTAAGAAACTAGCTAGTCCCCAATAACATAAGGACTTGTTGAGTGATACACACCATGGAATATACCACAGTCATTATGAAGGAGGTGGCATCAGCTTAATGACATAAGAACTATGAGTGAAGAAGGCAGGTTATGAAACAGTACGCATTATAGGCTCCTAGTTTTATTTTTTCCCCCAAATCATAATATGCACAGGAAACACCTGGAAAATTATATACCAAAATACTAATAGTGAATACCTCTGAATAGTGGTGAATGGGATTA